ATAGCACTGAAGTGCATATATTAGAAAAGACTGAAAACAAATTACCTAAGTCTCCTTCTTAAAAATTAGAAAAAAAAATCAATTTAAACTCAAATATCAATTAAAACTCAAGAAAGAAGAGAATAATGAAAACAAAAGTAGAAAACCATTAAATAAAAAAAATACATGGGGGGAGGGGAAGAATCACAAAGCCAAAGGTTAGTTCAATGGGGAAAGAAAACTAATAAAATTAAATAGGCTCTAGCAACACTAATCAAGAAAAAAAGAGTGACTGTACATTACCAATATCAGGAATTAATTTTAAAGTCTTAAAGTCATTAAAAATAAGAGCATATTATGAACTACTTCTGGCAATAAATTTGAAATTTTCGAATGGACACATTCCTAAAGGAAAAAAAAGTAACTTACCTAAACCAACATACGTAACAAAAAATCTGAATGACCCATATCTATGAAAGAATTTGAATCTATAATTTTAAAAGTTCTCATAAAGAAATCTCTAGTCCCAAATAGCTTCACCATTGAATTCTTCTAAAGATTAAGAAATGACAACAATTTTACAATAACCCATACAGAGAACAGAAATGTAGGAAACACTTTCTAACTTATTTTACAAGGTCAGAAAAACCCTACCCCAGAATGTGGGAAAAAAAAAAAAAGGAAAATAAAAAGCTAACCTCTCTCATAACACACAGATGAAAAATATCCTACGATATACTGATACACAGAAGATAGCAGCAAATAAGAGAGATGAAATATTCCAGAAATTAGACTTATTCCAGAAATGGCATGTTGGTTTAACATTTGAAAAATCAATCAGTGTAATTTACCACAGAAGGAAAAAAAAAAAAAAAACCATATCAACAGATGGAGAAAAAAATTTGATAAAATTCAACAGCCACTAGAAACAAGGAATAGAAGGGATTCCTCAATCTGATAAAGATTATCTCAAAGAAAAAAAACTATAACATTATGTTTAATAATGAAATAGTAAAGCTTTCCCCTTAAGATACAGTGGGCATGAAACAAGGATATCCACCATCACCACTTTGATTTAATTACATGAGAGATCCTAGCCAGTGCAATAGAGAAAAAAGAAAAAAGAAAAAAAAAAAAAAGACATTAAGATTAGAAAATAAAATTGTCACTATTTGCAGATGACATGATTGTGCATGCAAAAAAATCCAAAAGAACATGTAGGCAAACTATTAGAATAAATGAATTTACTAAGGTTGTTAGATACAAATATTTAAAAATCAACCTTATTTCTACATACAAGCAAGTAACTGGAAAATTACATTTAAAAGATTATATTACTTACAAAAATGTCAAAATAATTATCTAAGAATAATTCATTTTGTTCTCAATTTTTTATTGTGACATTTCAGACTTTTTAAAAAGTTATGAGAAGAGTACAAAGAATTTTTACATGCCCTTCATCCACATTTCCCAAATGTTAGCATAAACCTCTATTCATCAGACCAATAAAGAAGTAAAAAGGCAAACTACCAGGCAGAGAAAGAAATTTCCAATATAAAAAACCCTCATAACCAGAATACAAAAGAACTGCTATAAAATAAAACAAAAAAGATAGAAACCAAATAGAAAAATGGACAAAACTCAAACACATCACAAAAAAAGGATATCCAAATGGTCAATAAACATAAAAAAAGTTCAATTCAGTCATCAAGAAAATACTAATTAAAATCTGAATGAGATACACTACCTACCTAATAGAAGGTTAAAAGTGAAAAAGACCAACAATTGGTAAGAACATGGAGCAACGAGAACTCCCTTACACTGCTATAGGAATGTAAACTGGTACAAATGGAATGTAACTTGGGAAATGTGTCTTGCATTTTTACTCACTAAAATTGAACATATGCACAACCCTATAACCTTGCGATTCTACTCCTAGGTACATATCCATCAGAAATGTTTACATACGTGCATCAAGACACAAGAATTTCACAGCAGCACTATTCCAGCAGCTTCAAACTGGAAACCAAGCCAAATGCCATCCCTACTGGACAGGTAAACAGTGAAATAGTATGAGTTGGAACACTATAAGCAGTGAGAATGAATGAACTATTGCTACAAGCAATACCACGGATAAATCCTAGAATCAAAGTATTGAACAAAAGAGTGCAAGTCTTTAAAAGGCAGTAGTGTAAGAGACCATTAGATAAAATCAAAAAAATCCAGAAACCTAACGTGTGGTATTGCAGTCAGGATAGTGGTTACCTTTAGTGGGTGCAGTATCTGAGAAAAGATTCAATGAAAGGATTCTGGGGACTAATAATTTTCTATTTCTTGATCTGAGTGGTTACATGAGTATATTCATTTCACAAAAAATAACTGAATTGCACATGTACGATTTATTACTTTATATATGTTACATTTCAATAAAAAGTATATATTAAAAATACACGTTCAAGTATAATAACCCAATTTTCAAAAATTGCATATATGAAGAATAATAAGAAACACTGCTTATTTCAGGACTGTGGAATTAAAGGAGTTCCCCTCTAGCTGGCTCAATTTAAATATCACATTCTTGCTGATTTTTTTTTTCCCATAAACTCTTTTGCTCCTCCTATTCCCATCCCATTTTGAAAAGATGTTAAGTATCATTAGAGTCCCAGCACTAATCCTCAAGTGACTCAATGTTTACAAGGCAGAGAGAAACACTTGTTTCTTGCTCTAAGCCAATTCCTACTTTTATAAATACATCTCCCAATTTTTTAGTGATGTAATTAAAATAAAGATATTTTAACTGGAATTGATTCTAATCAAAGTCTCTTTACAAGTAATTGGTAAGTACAAATTATATCTAATAACAGCTACAACAATGGCAAATGAGGAGTTTTATATATACATATATATATATATATATACACACACACACATACACACACACATATATATATATATATACTCAAAGTAATAAAAGCAAGGAGGGGACCCCACTATTTGAAATAAAACACAGACGCAAACAAGAGTTGTCTGTTTCCAAAGAAGGCGGACCAAGGACTATAGAACTGTAGGCCCCTAAAGGCAAAAAATTCTCTACCTCTGGTGCGATACTAATAAATGATAGAACTTTCTGGTTTCTTTCTTTCTCTTAACTGTTGGAGCAGGATCCTGTAGGCTGCAAGCGGAAGACCATGGGTCCTTAAAGTTCGTATGAACCTTACACCAAGTGTTTTTCTTGGGAGCGGGTCCATGCCTGATACAGATTATGGGCCTACAATTCCATAAAAGTTAAGAAGTACTGACCTAGGGTAACAATTTCCAAAGACTAGCATCCAAGATGATTTGGGGGAGTCCATGAACAAACTTTTTATCTTTATAGTTATGTATATATTTTGATGTATATTAAAAAATAAAGCACATCAAAGCCATTACGTCACATGCCACTATCTGGACAGACCATGATGGTGGTGGATCCAAGGACCAGGCCTCAGCAAACATGGAAACACGAGATGGAAGGAAGCTGCTTAACAGAGAACACGTGCTTTTTCACCTTTGCTACTCAAGCCTCTTTTCAGATCTCTAGAAGTTTATTTGATGCAACAACATCAGAAATTCCTCATAACTATCATCTTGAGAAATATTGGCTAAACTAACCCAGAGATTATACCTGGCTCTAGCATTTCTGCATCTCAATTCTTTCTCCTATTCAGAAGCTGTGATACCATTATGGATAGGAGTAATTGGCAAAGAGCCATTAAGAAAAAAAAAAAAAAAAGAAAGAAACTGATAAGGAATGTGCCAGTAAACAGCTGGCTTTAAATATAAGCTGGAAATTCTTTTACCATTTACTGGTAAAATCTCATAGCACAAATAGCTCTTTCAAAGTGATTAGACTGTCCTGTTGATACTGAATAAATGGAAATACTCAGAAATGTTATATGCTAAATCTTAGGGGAAACAGCTATTCAACCATAGCACCAAGCAGATCCCCACAGGGTCATTAAATTCTATACCACTTCTGTGCTTCACTAAACAGAATAAAATTGCTGAAGTCAATAGTTTTTATGATAGAGTCTCACAATGTTCTATTTGGTAACATTAAGCCACACGGTAAAGCCACACCCCCAGAGAGGGACAGAAAGAGAGAAATTTAATTTTTATGAAACATTCCAAATATTCAGAAAAAAATTATTTACATGATACTACACTCAGATTTAACAGATGTTAGCATCTGGCTACACTGTTTCTTCTCCCCCATGCTGCCCTTGTCTGGCTGGATAGGAACCAGATAACCAGAAAAGGAGAAGCAGAGCCTTCGTGAAAACAATGGTTTTGAGAACTTGGCACATGACATACTTCCTTGGTAAATGGGCACAATCATGGAGCTGAAAAATAACATTAGAATGGGGATACAATTTAAAATTAATTACTGTGAGGTCTAACATTCAACTATTCCTTTCCCATTGTAATCTAAATGCCGTGTTATTTTCGTGGTTAACGTTTCTGAACTATCCGCAAGACATGTAAAGAGGGATTAAGGAAGGCCAAGGTCTTCAAAGAATCACAAGGTTAAAGGAATATTCCTATCTAAAACAATGCCTGGCTTGATCTTAGGTAGTACTGAGACACAATCTGAACCAAGAATATTTTGTCTTTCAGATAACTAAGTGGTGACAATTCCATATCAACTGCATCTTATTTAATTGCCCAAATACTTGGATTGATGGAATAAACAGCAATCAATTCTACCTTTTTCCGCATATGTTAACTCAGAAATAGATTTTTAAGTGAAGATAAGGAAGAAAACCACTTCACCTTATTCAATTAACCATATACAGTCACGATAAAAAGGATTTTAAAGATTTTGCATAAAGTACAAGTATTTCTTTACAACCCTTCTAACATGTTTTTAAAGTCCACTGTCTGCACTGATACAATAACTCTTTTTAGCAATGAAATCAGAAAACAACCTGTGCTGTGATATTTAATTTAGAATACAAAATAATGAATTATTAAAAACTTACTTGACATCAGTTTTGGAATCTGGGCTTGTCCTCTCAACAGTGGCCTGTATAAGTTTCCCTGGTAAGTGACAGGTGGTGGTGCAGCATTGCTGTAAAGCCCAGATCCTGAGCCTCTTGGCATAACATGGCTGTAAATGGATCCAACACACAAGGAAAAAAAAAAAAGTATGTAGAAACGTATCCATCCTATTACAGCTGACACAAATTAAATGCTAGTAGCAATCTCTTTATTACTAGATCTGATTAAGAAAACACAAATTAAAAAGAAGATTTATAATTAAAGTTCAAAACTGTACACAATGGTAACGGTGATTGCAAATGTTCATTTGTCACACCAAGACTCTTAATTGATAATCATTTAAATACTTACTAATTACATCACACAAAAAATAATCTGAGCCTATTTTTCTTTTTTACTGCATTATTAAGCTTTTTCCTCAAGGACTCATGCTGTTACTATCACTTCACACAAACTAGTCTATATCTTGCTGTCCTAAAAGTCCTCTTATATCTATAGTAAATAGATTTACTTTTTCTATTTACTGTATCATTTTTATATACATTTCTTTAGTCTTCATAATTATAATATGTATACCTACAGAATACTTCACTATGTTGATGTCTTTTTTTTTTTTTGGTGGCTGGCTGGTACAGGGATCTGAGCTCTTGACCTTGGTGTTACAAAGCTACGCTCTAACTATTTCTCATATTTTTACTATACCATTCCTCTCACTTAGTACTAATATTATAGATTACAATGGACTAGAAATATCCAGACATATGACTATGCTGCCCTAAAATTATTTCCTCATAATAAATTCCAGAAAGTAGGAATTTGGATCAAAGGTTAACAATATCTTCAGAATTCAGAACTCTGTTTAAGAAGAACTTCTTTGTTGCTTTCCAAAATCACTGAAATAATGCAAAAACATATCTTAATATTTTACTATTATTAAGAATGAAGGGCACTGTAGGGTGACTATAATTAACAATTTATTGTACAGTTTCAGTTAGTTAGAAGAGAGGATTTTGAATGTTTCCAACACAAAGGAATGATAAATGTTTGAAGTGATGTCAAGAACAAATCAGTGGTTGCCAGGATTTCAGTGGATAAGGAAAAGAGGGAAGGAGGAAAGGAGGGAAAGAGGGAGTAAGGGAGAAAGGGAGAGAGGGAGGGAAAGAGGTGGGAGAGAGGGATAGATGGGTGGAGCACAGAGGATTTTCAGAGCAGCAAAACTATTGTTTGATACTTTAATGGTGAATACATGACATTATGCATTAGGCAAAACCCACAGAACTGTACAATACAAAGAAGAAACCTTAACATATAATTAATATATCAATATTGATTCATAATTGTAACAAATGTACACACTAATTTAACATATCAATAACAGGAGAAACTGTACATGTGGGTGGGGGCAGGTATGGGAACTTTGTACTTTCTGTTCAATTTCTCTGTAAAACTAAACTGCTATAAAAATACAGAGGGAAAAAAAAGAATGAAAACTTTCCAAAATAATAACAGGTAATGTTTACAGTTTTTAGGAACTATCCTAATCACTTGACAAACATTAGCTTACTTAATTCTTACAACTTCATAAGGTAGATGTAATTACTGTCTCCACCTTACAGATAAGGTAACTGAAGCATACGGTGGTTAAGTAACTTATATTAAGTAACAGAAAAGATATCTGAATTCAGACACTTAGGATCCAAAGCCCAGCTCTCAACCACTATTCCACACTGTCCCTCTTACTTTGATGTATAAGTTACATGTTGATGGTGACCTCTGCCTAAATCACTTTCTGAATCTTAAAGTTTCCCCATTAGCTGGAAGTACCTACTTACAAGCTATCATTACTAATTCGTGAATCATAAATCATTAATATTTCCGCCAGCCTGTTGCTCTTTTTATCCCAGCTTTACCTGTTACTGTTTCAAAGTCCCCTCTATCTACCTATAATATCTTCTACAGCTAGGAAAAAGACAATTCAATAGCTAATAAGGGCAAATAATAAAACTCAGAAATTTATAGAAGAGGAAATACAAATGACCAATAAACATATTGAAAGATAATCTCAGTAGGCATGGATATGCCAATTCAAGCAACAATGAGACAAAACTATTTAACCACTGTAAACAAAAATTTAAGAGACTGGTGGCTTTGTGTACTAATGTACTGGTTAACACTTTAAACAGATTCTCTGTCATACAAATTCAGCTAAAACTTTCTTGAGGGTAAAGAGAATGTTTTATTCCTTTTAACTAACTGTCAAAAAGATAGTAAAACCTCTTACAGAAAGAAAGTAATAGAAATTTCATGCAACACATAAATATATAAATCAAAGAAACAAAAGTAAAATTTTAAAAATGAAGAAAAGCAAAGAATTATCAAAATCATTAAAACACCTACAAAATAGTTGTATTTTATGGTCTCTTAAATATTTGTGACACAAACATTGCCTTGTTTTGTGGCATGATTCAGAAAAAGCAAAACATACAAGAGATAGAAATCCATGACTCACCCCAAAGTCCTGAAGGCTGCCTGATCCAGGTGGACAGGCCGCCGGTCCCGATTAAAGCCAAGCTGGGGCTTCCACTGCCGTCCATTACTGGATTTTTCCCAGTCGCCAGGTTTTAGTACCGCTGCTGGCTTTCTGACCATTTGAAAATACAATATTTAGTCATAAGGATGAACATCCATTCATACAAAATAAACCTAGGTAGTTTACTATTGTTACCTTGCTCCTGGAAGCATTACAGCTTTAAAAATGTAATCTTCAGCAAACTGTGGGTCTTTAAAATTAACACTGAAAGAGAACAATAATCAATTTAATGATTTGATTATATTGGCCTGGCTTAATTATCATGTAAACTGAGGTATTTTTCATGTTTAAACAAAATAACTAAAATTCAAGACTTCTCCAAAAATTACTTTAGCCAATGGTTTTGCCAAATAGCTAAATATCTTCCTCACCAAATTGCCTCTAACTTTGAGTACACAGCCTTCATGTATCTTTCTCTGTGGGAAGAGCCAGGTTCTAGCTAACTGTGGGTGACCACAGAGAAACAACAGACATTGCCTCAACTCTTGAGAAATTTCAATATGATATTGGACATAGGTCAAAGCAGTTTACAACAACAAATACCTTTCATTTTGTTCAGTCCATGGCAAAAATCCCTAGCATCTTAGAGAGGATAAGCTCCTATCGCAAAAAACGAAAGATGCACACACCAATAGAAACATTTTCAAAATCAAAAAATGTACACAGATGGCTAAGAAACCTATGGGAAAAAACGCTCACAAAAATACTAAACTTCCCTGATGGAACCCTGTACTCTATTCACCTAATGTTTGTTTTTTAGATAATGAAATAGTCAGAATTTGAAAACTACACAAATGCCTATTTTTAAAGCTATACACAGATTCTGAATATAATCTGAGTCAAACTTGCTTTCTGCTATGGGTGTGTGTGTCTGTCTATTCCAAAGGTTGGTAAGTATATAAGTATTCCTTCTGACAAAGCAATTTCTCTTCTCTAGGACTCTAGTTATGTGTGAAATTTATCTTTAAGGATGCTCATAACACCATTACTTATAATATTAAAAGACTGTAGAGCCTAAGTGTATAATAAGAGTGGACTGCTTAAAGAAACTAGAGTTCTAACTAAAAATCCTCAGATGATATTGTTAAAAATTTAATAGCAGAATACTTAACGACATGGGAAAAATATATATACAACAGACTACACATATATTCATCAATAGGTTATCAGTGGTTTTCTCTGTATAATTGTCTCCTTTCCTTTGTGTTTTTGTTCCCCCCAAAATTCCTCCAGTGATTACAGATTACAGTCAGTTAAAAAGATTTTACTGAAAGTTTGAAGGTTTTATTGAAATGGCTGACATTTTTAGATAGCTAACTTTTTTTTTTTTTTGGTATAGCCACTTTAACAACTAGGGTCCATCTTTTATAACTGAAATTTTCATTGC